GATCGATAAACTCTAGCAATAACAGTTGGTGTCTCATTTCTGACACCAGTAAGCTCCTTAGCTTCCTCTAGCTCATCTTGACTTGAAGCCAATGATAAAAGCACATTCTTAGCTTTCTGATCAGGTGGTACTCCACAACTCTCCATCTCCTTATACCAAACAAGAGCGCTCCCAAAATCCTTGCACCTCCCGGAAGCATCCATGATAGTCGTTAAGATGGTTTGATTCGCTTTGATGCCACTTAACCTCATTCTCTCATATACCTCCATGACCTTCTCAAGATCGTTTTCTTTGGCATACCCTTTTATCAATGTCCCGTAGGTGACTATATTTGGTTCAAAACCGTCTACTTTTATCCTCTTGAAGAATTTCTCAGCGCCATCCATGTCAGAGGCATTGACATACGCCGATAACATAGTTGTGTAAGACCAAAGATCCGGGAAAATTCTGCAACGGAAACATGTTAATTGCTTTTATCAATCTAAAACATACAAGCAAACATGATTGAAGTACCATTTACCTGTCCCGTCGCATGCTCTTAAAGACAGTCTTTGCTTGCTCCACCATCCCGGAAATAGCAAATGCATCAAGCAAAATGTTATAAGCTTTATGCGTCGGCCTGCAAATCAATGAAAGACTAAATATCCGAAAGAGAGGTATACTTCGTCAAGTCCTCAGCCACAACAGTAATAAAATAGTTGTTGGAAGCCAAAAACTGACCTTACACCAGCATCAAGCATCTCTTCAAAAACGGATAGAGCTTCTTCCTCTCTTCTGGCTCTTCCATATGCTTTGATAAGTAAAGCGTAACTTACAACATCGGGTTGAAGACCAGATCTTTGCATCTGAAAAAGTTGAAGATTGAGTTACGAGGATTAGATCACTACTCTTACAGGCCAAGACATATCTCGATGGTGTTTCTAGCGTATAATAATTACTTAAAAGAAAGGATCATTCAGATAACCTGGTCATAGATCTTAGAAACTTCTTTATAACTAGTTTCAAAGGACATAAGGCTATTGTAAGTGACAGTAGACTGTGGAACTCCTTTCTCCTTCATCGAAGCAAATACTTTTCGAGCCTTCTCATAGTTTCCAGCCTTCTTGTACATGTATATCATCATGTGATACATCTTTTGATCCGGCTTCAATGGCGATCTCTTCTCATCTAAAAGAGTCTCAAAAACCTCTTCAGCTTCCTTAAACTTGTTCCCCTCTACAAAAGTCTTAAGTATAATCTGATAAGTTACAGCAGAAGGCTCTGGCCCTGAAGACTGCATTCTCCGAAATATCGCTTCAGCATTGTTGCATTTGCCTCCTCTCCCATAAGATTCCATGAGAGCGGTATAAGAAATCACGTTTGGACTCGAGCCCATCTTACTCAGTACGCTCAAAACCCTTTCAGCTCCATTGAAGTTTCCTAGTTTCCCATAAGCTGTAATGAGCATCAAGAAATCCATTTCACTGAAGTTCCACCAGTTCTGGTATCTAAGCCATTCAAGAATCTGGAAATCAAAACAAACGAAGGAGAGCAGCATATCAGATACAGCCCGACAACTTTCCTGTTAAAATTGCAATAGTCAATATTCTAACAATCACAGCTTTTGGCTCATCTAATATCTCTATCAAGATTCAAGACTAACTTTATGCATTACATTCCGCAAATCAAAACACTGCAAAATTCTCAAACAGTTCTCTTCAGATTGCAAACGGTGTCTGAAAGGATCAAAACAATAAAAGGGTACTTCATTCATTCTTTCTCCATACCTCACTAACAAGGTTCCATTTCTTAAGCTGCTTAAATCTAACCAAAGTACCCAAAACAAGATCCCTCGGAAGACCTTGGTCACCGTCAGTTCTGTATAGCCTAAGCACCGGAACAGCAGAACCAGTAGACTCAATTTCCAGCATCAGCCCTCTCCATCTCTTCTGATCAGTCTCGTCTGCTGCATCCTTGAAAACCTCCATTTTCCTTCTCTTTTGCAGGAATTTCCTTGGAGCCAGCATTCCCATACAAACAACTCTGAATCGGTTTTGGATTTTAACACCAACATTGATAATATTGTTATCTTGTTTCCTCTGGCTGACACAAAGATAAACACCACAGACTTTAGTAAGTGAAAAAACACAAACTTCAAATAACCCAAAAAGTTGATGATTAGAGGTAAAAGAACATGAACCCTAACAGTCGCTACCCAATTTGGACACAGCTTTAGCTAACACAATCGATTAAATTAAACTAAACCCGCGACGAATTTTTCGCAGAAATTCGTAAAGGCGGTCCCTTTTTCATAGAATTATCACAAGCCGTCAATGGAAAACAAAATAAATAAAAAGCAACTCCAAAACCCCAGAAATGAGAGTAGTTCCAATAGATAAAGAAGTTAAGATAGGAAAGAGAAAAGGAAACCTGTGATTATTTGAAGGAACTGAGACAAACGGCTTGAAAATTACGGCCTGTGACATCTAAAGTTCGAAGCTTTTCCTCTGTCGCAGCAGCCAAGAGGAAGAAGAAAGTTCGAAGCTTATCCTTTTAAAGTTAAAACTTCATAGTGGATAAATTTTTATTTAATTTTTCTGGAGCATTATAAACCTTTTTAACTCGATATTTAATTCAAGTTGAATGAAATTAGACCCAAAAATGGAGGCGGGGTTTCATGAAGTAATTGACAATAATGCCCCTATAGTCATGTTCTGTGAATCTGTGACATGTTTAAAAGCAAATTGCTTCGATACTTTGCTAATGTGAAGGAAGAAGATTCGTGTAGTCCCGAATTGTGTAAGGTAAATGATACAAAAATGTTTAAATCTTTTTTGATAGCACCAAAGGAGGGGTTGCATCTGAAATTTGGCACTTTGTTTGAGGTTTGTGTGTTACCATTGAACATTTGACTTCGACTAAAGATCTGAATCAAAAATCTCAAGTAAAGAGAGTGGAATTAATAGTTGATTGATACGCACAAGAGTTTGAAATAATTATATCATATGAAATCATAAATCAAATCTAACAATGTTGGTTTCCGAAAACGAAAAATAAAAACTTTAGGTTTAAATTACATACGGGAGATCAGAAGAGGGACAGAGGCAGGAGCGTCCTCTTCAATCTCATGTTCAAATTCTCCATATCGCTCAAGAACACGCATCCTGCAGTCTTCAGCAGCCAGCACTCCGGTTGAATAAGCACCGTGTACTGATCCCGGGAAGCTCGAGCTAGTAGCTTCCCCGGCAAAGAATAGATTATCCAGAGGCACTCTCAGCCTCTCGTATAGGTCGTGTGGTTTGTTCACAATGTCATAGCTATATGATCCTAATGAATTGATGTCTGATCCCCACCTTGATACCAAATAATTTATCTGCCAAATT